CCCTTGCCTAGGTCACTCTGAATAGACTCTCCACACACTCTCCCCCCCTCTACCCCCCCCCCCTGACACACTTTTTGACGAGACATCACGATGACGAGGGAGGGTGGTGGTGGTTGTGGTGACGGTGGTAGTAGTGGTAGAGAAGGAGAGGCATCTAATCATAACTACAACCCCCCTTTATAGTTTGCTCCGTGACCTCAAACTGCCGGCAATACTTCCACAACCTCCCCCCCCCTCTCTACCCCACCACCACTAACCACCTCTACTGCCTCAATCACACACCAATATCTGCCTCCAGTTACACCCACTTGAAGTAATGTTAAGAGAAATGCCTGTGGCTTACCGTCTCTCAGAACACTACTTTGGCCTTACCTGACGGAGGAGGAGGAGCGGGAGGAAGAGGAGGAGGAAGAGGAGGAGGAGGAGGGAGTAGAGAGTAGATCACAGTCTAATTAATCATGAGGAATTGATCTGTGCATCTAGTCTCAATTCCTAGAGAAAGGGAGAAGTCAGCAAATTCACTTTTAATTACGAACTGATTAGCTGGGAATAAATAAACCCAGACTTGGCAGAAATATGGTGGGAAGAACAGCTGGATAAAGCAAACTCAACCAGGTGCTTTGAGAAAATAGGCGCATCAGCACTAGAAGTGGGTGCAAGTCACTTACCATTAAGAAAACAAGAGAAGAAAAGATGCAAACTGGAACAAGAATCGCGCTTCTACTACCGACGAAGACAACAAATCGCAGAAGAACTCAAAGGCTCCACTTTACCCCAAGAACGACATAGAAGACTATGTAGAGAAACAAAAACGATCAAAGTTGCAAGAATGTTGCAAAATCCAGGAGAGACAAAGAGAGCAAAAAAAGACCTCCGGTGAAACAGAAGAATCCAAAATACTTTTTCTTCTATGCAAAATCTAGAACAAAAACTACATCAGGCATTGGGGTCCTTGCGCGGGGGTGACGGAACCCTCACAGATGACAACTAAGAGGTATATCCTCCAAAGGTATCCTCTCAGGTATCCTCGGGGATTGAACGCCGACCTGCTTGAAGCGAGACCGTCGCTCTACGGTCGCTCTACAAGATTCTCAGGTATCCTCCAAAGGATACTTGATCAACCAGGCTGTGACTCATACGTCAGGCTGCGAGCAGCCGCGTCCAACAGCCTGGTTGACCAGTTCAGCAACCAGGAGGCCTGGTCGACGACCGGGCCGCGGGGACGCTAAGCCCCGGAAGCACCTCAAGGTAACCTCAAGGTAAGAAATAAGTGAAATATCGAAACTTCAGTGCGACTCTGTTTTCAGTGAACCCCTTGAACACCCTGTAGATCACAGTGAACCCCTTGAACACCCTGTAGATCACAGTGAACCCCTTGAACACCCTGTAGATCACAGTGAACCCCTTGAACACCCTGTAGATCACGAAGACTGATTGACTGATGAAGATTAAGCCACCCAAAAGGTGGCACGGGCATGAATAGCCCGTAAGTGGTGGCCCTTTTGAGCCATTACCAGTATCAAGAGCTGATACTGGAGATCTGTGGAGGTGCGACTGACGGGAGATGTGTCCCCCGTCAGATCCCAAATCCAACCAGTTCTTTATAAATGTGCTACCAACATCTCCCTATATGTCACCCTAACCCCACCAGACTATAAAGTAGCTATAGACAGCATGCCTATATATATTACGGGCTCGCCATAGCCCGTGCTACATGGACATTTCGTTCTAAGTAGCTAAATCAAAAACCACAACATGCCTAATGCCCTCCGCACCAGGCCCAGACTCCTGGCAGCCTACATACCTATCTTGAGGTTATCTTGAGGTTATCTTGAGATGATTTCGGGGCTTTTTAGTGTCCCCGAGGCCCGGTCCTCGACCAGGCCTCCACCCCCAGGAAGCACCCCGTGACAGCTGACTAACACCCAGGTACCTATTTTACTGCTAGGTAACAGGGGCATAGGGTGAAACAAACTCTGCCCATTGTTTTTCGCTGGCGCCTGGGATCGAACCCAGGACCACAGGATCACAAGTCCAGCTTGCTGTCCGCTCGGCCGACCGGCTCATACATCAAGAATTGCTACACAAAAACTCTATCACATCTGGCTCTAACATCACAGCTAAAATATTTGAAGGAATGCTAAGAAGTAAGATCACAAAACGCCAAGACTCGCTCCTCCAACACAACGGTAGAATACTGAGCCTCAAGATAACAAAGACAGGTCTCAAAATCACAGTTATAACACAATAAAGCAAAAACCCGAGAGAGTTCGGTATCTTGAGCACAAATGAGAACGACAACCTCACCATAGACACCATAAGGTACACACCACGTACCATAAGGTACACGAGGAGGTTGGTGCTACACGCTGCCAATGACGAGGTACTCACCGGCCTCCCTATACTCAGGCCGCCCTCTCAGAGACTAACCCGTCCTCAGATCAAGTCCATTCCATCCAGCGGTCGACCCCAGCGGTCCCACCGCGGTGTACAAGACCATCTCGAGAAACAATGGCAGAGTTTCTTTCACCCTAATGCACCTAGTACCTATTTACTAGCAGTAAATAGGTACCAGGGAGTTAGTCAGCTATCACGAGCTGCTTCCTGGTGTGTGTGTGTGTGTGTGTGTGTGTGTGTGTGTGTGTGTGTGTGTGTGTGTGTGTGTGTGTGTGTGTGTGGTGTGAGGGGGGAAAAAATAGTAGTAACAGTTGATTGACAGTTGAGAGGCGGGGCGAAAGAGCCAGAGCTCAACCCCCGCAAGCACAACTAGGTGACCACAGTCTCAGCAAGGCCCGTATCATAATTCTCACAGTATTTTCAATTTCTACTTATTTCTGTCACCTGCTCCCCGTCCCCCCCATTACTTCCCACGCTGCCCCCCCCCCACCTCTCGTCCAGTAAAGAAGTGGAGGGGGAGAAGAATAGTGTAGGGGGAGTGTGGTCAGGGGAGCAGGGGGCTGTGAGAAGCACAGGGGGGGGGGGGGGGAGGTCACTGCCCTTAGGGACGCTCACTACCTCCCCACCACGTGTACCTTGTCTCCCCCACCCGCAGGCAGGCTAGTGGCAGGCTGGCTGGCAGGCTGGTGGCAGGCAGGCAGGCTGGTGGCAGGCTGGCTGGCAGGCTGGTGGCAGGCTGGCTGGCTGGCAGGCAGGCAGGCAGGCAGGCAGGCAGGCAGGCAGGCAGGCAGGCAGGCAGGCAGGCAGGCAGGCAGGCAGGCAGGCTGGCTGGCTGGCTGGCTGGCTGGCTGGCAGGCTGGCAGGCGGGCAGGCAGGCAGGCACGGAGGCTGGCTGGCAGGCACGGAGGCTGGCAGGCAGGCAGGCTGGCAGGCACGGAGGCTGGCTGGCAGGCACGGAGGCTGGCTGGCAGGCTGGCAGGCAGGCAGGCAGGCAGGCAGGCAGGCAGGCAGGCACGGAGGCTGGCTGGCAGGCACGGAGGCTGGCAGGCAGGCAGGCTGCCAGTCTGACAGTTGAGAGTTGATTCCACTCCTACTTGGAGCGGCCCGTAGGCCCACATACCCACCACAGCCCGGTTGGTCCGGTACTCCTTGGAGAAAACAGTCTAGTTTTCTCTTGAAGATGTCCACGGTGGCTCCGGCAATATTTCTTATAGTCGCTGGGAGGACGTTGAACAACCGCGGACCTCTGATGTTTATACAGTGTTCTCTGATTGTGCCTATGGCACCTCTGCTCTTCACTGGACCTCTGATGTTTATACAGTGTTCTCTGATTGTGCCTATGGCACCTCTGCTCTTCACTGGACCTCTGATGTTTATACAGTGTTCTCTGATTGTGCCTATGGCACCTCTGCTCTTCACTGGACCTCTGATGTTTATACAGTGTTCTCTGTGCCTATGGCACCTCTGCTCTTCACTGGACCTCTGATGTTTATACAGTGTTCTCTGATTGTGCCTATGGCACCTCTGCTCTTCACTGGACCTCTGATGTTTATACAGTGTTCTCTGATTGTGCCTATGGCACCTCAACTTTCACTGGACCTCTGATGTTTATACAGTGTTCTCTGATTGTGCCTATGGCACCTCTGCTCTTCACTGGACCTCTGATGTTTATACAGTGTTCTCTGATTGTGCCTATGGCACCTCTGCTCTTCACTGGACCTCTGATGTTTATACAGTGTTCTCTGATTGTGCCTATGGCACCTCTGCTCTTCACTGGTTCTATTCTGCATTTTCTTCCATATCGTTCACTCCAGTATGTTGTTATTTTACTGTGTAGATTTGGGACCTGACCCTCCAGTATTTTCCACGTGTATATTATTTGATATCTCTCTCGTCTCCTTTCTAGTAAGTTATACATTCAAGCGATACCCTTAACATTTCCTAGTCGTTAAACTATGTCCCCAAGCACTCAAACGACGTCACCCAGGACTCGAGCGACGTCCACACAGTTTAGAACTTCAGGCGACGTGATGCATGAAGAGAGGGAATAGAAGGGTGAGAGTAATTGCAGAGCAGGAGCGTAGTGATGATGTAGGGAAGATGGTGAGGACGCAGTTCCCTACCACCACAACTACCACAATTCCTACCACAACCCGTACCTCCACCCCCCACCCCCTCCCCCAACACCAAGCCCCAATCGTCTTCCTGTACCAGCCTCCAGCTCTCCAAACATGTATATCTCGTACGAATCAGACATACATGTATACCTGATCTGAATCAGACGTGTATATTTGGTATGGAAATGGGTTCTTAATTACTTCCGGGTCCAAAAAATTGAGGTTAACTGACGGATTTTGTTGAATGTTATTCCAGAAGTCAGTATACTGCCTTCCCCGCCACACACCTGGTCTTGTTTACACACCAGTAACATGTGTAGATACACACCTGCCAAGCGGCGTGACCTGTCTAACATCTGCCACATATGGCGTGAGCGAGGTAGCGAAGGTATTATGTCTTCCCGTAAGGAAGCTTCGTCCTTTCCCAACAACTTATAACCAGGCGAGCCGGACTCCTCCAGGCCAGAGTCGGGAAGTAGAAGAACTCTCGTACCCCACTACAGGTAAACTACAGGTTGGTTACTTTCAATTAACTAGGTAATAGCGTGGCGCTTTCTTCTGATGATTCCCTTCTACCAAAACGCAAAAATAATTAATAATCATTGCACTGACTTAGATCACCGGGAATTGAACTCGGACCTATGAAATACGAAGCCGACGCCATGCCAACCAGGCCGGGAGGTAACAACTACTTGAGTGTGTACTCACGTCATTGTATTCAGCTAGTTGTGCTTGCGGGAGGGTTGAGCTCTGGCTCGTTGGTCCCGCCTCTCAACTGTCAATCAACTGTCTGTGTGTGTGTGTGTGTGTGTGTGGTGGGGAGTGTCCTGTTACTTCCCATACTCGTGTAACTTGTGTATCAGTGCGAGAGACTATGTACACCTCTGTGTTGGAGGCAGAAGGAGGAGTGTAGGCTAGATAATGTGTGACCTTGGGACACCAGTGACCACACCCTCCGACGTGTGACCTCGGGTGCCCAGGGGGGTGCCCCTGGAGTGCCCCCCTGGGTGCCACGGGGTAGACAGGTGTCACTGGGAGTCGACACTCGCGGACCAGGCCTTGGGCTGAGAGGATGTGCGCGTCTGCTCTCCCTTCTAGGGAATAAGTCCCCAACCCTGTGCTGCGATCACAAAACCCTTGACCAACTGCTGTGTGTATTTACCTGTATCACATGACAAGAGGTTACCTCATGGTATATATTTCATCCCTTGTCCACTTGTCGTATTTGCACTGAAAGATTTATCCTCTGGCGCCACCTGCGACCACAGAAATGACACACACACCTCCTTGTCCAACCTCTCTCTCTCTCTGACCTTACCTCTCCTTATCCTAAACATTTCATACATCTTAAAGGTGCTCATCATATCCACAATGTTTCTTCTGCAATGCAGTTACTCTCTACATCGTCCATAACTGTCATATCCGGAACCCATTTAGTATCACGCCTCTGTAATCTGCCTAACTTGTTGTGTCTTGAGTGATAGAAAAAGGGAGGGAGATGGGGTATATCAAGTGAGGAATTCCATCCAATGTTACAGTTAGATCTGGTTGTTCGACCTTGTGCCCCCCTCCTCCCCGCCCCTCCCCCCCCACTACCTCAACCTGACCACGCCCCTCCAGGTGGGGCCACGCCCCCACCACCACCACCTCCTCCTCTCCCTGCTCGCCAGGACAAGCAGGCACCTCAGCCTCCGCCTGGAGGACCCAACACCACTACCTATCGTGTCCTGCCGACTCGCATTCCTAAGAATTGTCTATCTACGTACACACGTAGGGGTCAGATTATTGCAAGTCTATCGGAAAGAAAGGCGTTTGCCTTTCCATTGGAGACTTTCAGCGCCGTGGAGAGGGGGGGACCTGCTGCATGGGTAACAGCTTCTCCCCCCGTATCAACCTACCCTAGCTTTGCGCCCTGGTGAGACCGACAACCAGAGCGCAACTCCATAGTCTCCTGAGACTGATGGATGCCTGCTACTATCGGCAAGAAAGGACCTCCCACACACAGGGGGAACCATTGTGTATACTCACCTAGTTGTGCTTGAAGGGAGTTGAGCTCTGGCTCTTTGGTCCCGCCTCTCAACCGTGTGACGCAGGCTATATCAGCCTCTTCAGAGTTCAGCCCCCATTATAAACCTAACCAAGTTTACAGAGCTCTTTGGCTCCGATGATCATCGGTTTTTGGTCATAACCTGATTGGTTATGACCTGATATATGACCTGATATATAACCTGATTGGGGGGGGTAGCACCTGAGGTCTCACTCTCACCTGTAAACTCAACACAACAATTAATAAGAAGTAACGCTATAGGTCTCATTATAGGCCTATACAACAGTATACAGTAAAATAACACAGCGTAGTACAACAGAATTAAATACAATGAAATAAAATGCAAATTATACAGAATAAAATAATCCAATAGTTGAAACCACAAAATTGTCAGTTCCAACCTGACTCTGAAAGTCCGTTAATACACTAATTGTATTGGTATACTTCCTGGTAAACCACCTGTAAACTGTGCAGCCCGCCCTCATAAACAAGGGCCAAAGGTCATTCCATCCACCCGCGAAACCCCCCAGCTGTTTATGAATGAAAAACGGTTTACAAACGACTCACAACTGCTGACGTTCGAACATATCCGGAACAAGTGCTTCACTGACGAATTTTGTTCGAACCACAACGCTGTAAATGCTTCACCCTCGTACTACAAATGCAAATAATCGCCAACAGAACCTAAACACCTGACCTATGCCTATATATTCACAATATGCTAATAAATATTAATTTATATTTGAGAAAATTCATGTTTTTGAATGAACAGCAATTATGAATGCGTGTGTGGGGTCGACCGCTGGATGGAATAGACTTGGTGTGAGGACGGGTTGAGGTGTGGCCTGCCTGCTGTTGGTACTGGGAGGATCAATGTCCCCGTGGCTAGATCTGTGACTAGGCCGAGTGGTCAACCAGGCTGTTGCACCTGTTAACACC